AGGCACCCCCAGGAGGGCTCCCTGCCTCAGTGTTCCTCAGGGGCCTCTCTCTGACCAGAAACACAAAGATGACTTTGGAGAGACCTGGGCGGGGGGGACCCTAGAAGGGGAGGAAGAAAGAGGAGGGCTCAGGAAGGGATAGAATGTGGACCCTGGGATGTTTCAGGCAAGGCTGACTTCACCGTGACCCCTGTGTGCGCATGTAGCAGAATTTGGGGGTGTACACCTGAAGCTTGGAGGTGGTGGGCAGAGGGCGTGTCCGGACTGATTGAAGAGCACGGGCAGAGAAGCAGGTTCTAAGTCCTTTGTCAAATTCAGAGTGAATCTGGGAGAGTTCTCTTCATTGTCTTTGTTCTAAGGATCAGGAAGAGGAAGTAAGAGGGAGGCAGGAACATCCTAATAATAGTACCCAGGGGGTGACTGCTGTCTGGGACACCCGACTGGCTCACTCAGTATAGCATGCGACTCTGGATCTCAGGGTCCTGAGTTCAAACCCCCACGCTGGGTGTAAAGCATAGTTTGAAAATAAATAAAAGTAAAAAAAGATAAATAGCACCAAGGGGGTAACTATAGTCTGAGGTGCTTATCTTGCCCTGTGCTGTGGATCTACTAGGCTCTTCCTCCATCTGCACCACCCTGAGCCCCGAGACCTCCTGTGAGAGAGGGTTTCAGGGCACCTCCAGCCCCATCGGGGGGAGTGGATCCTAGCAGGACAGCCACTAGCACCTTTAGGCCATCAGTCCCCAGGGAGACGGGAGGGATGGTAGGGGGTGAGGTGTGGAGCTTGGCAGGGACTCTAGGGACCAAGGCCTTAAAGAGCAGAGAGCAGATCAGGGGCTGGACTCTTCTCAAAGCCTTCAGAACTTGGCTCATTCAACTCTCCAGTCCTTGCCAGGAATGTGAGGGCCTGGGGGTTGACTGTGAGGGACAGCCGGAGACAGAGGGACTATGAGGGACAGAGGGGTGGCAGTGTTCCCTGGAGCACATCCTCGGGCACTGGGGTCCTCAAGCACCATTTCTGCGCTCAGCCCCCCTGCTGCTCTCTCCACACCCACCCTCCACCCCCAACACACGTCATCCTCTATGAGAAAGTGTAAATTGTTTGCCATTTGGCAAGTAATAGCCCACCTGGGTTATATTTTTACCATGTACAAAAACATTGCAGAGAAGACAATAGAAGACAATAGAGAAACCTGTTGTCTTCTCTGATCCTTGCTACAGTCTGGTGAGGTAATAGGGCCAGTACATTTTTTTAACAGAAGAGGAAACCAAGCCCCAGTGAAAGTTTTTGTTGTTTTTGTTATTTTCTAGTTTAGCTCTGGTTCACATGGTTAGTGCCTGAACCAAAGGTCAGGTGGCCCAGTAGAGAGCTTCTGCCGTGTTCTACATGGTGTGCATTATGTCCTTTAAAGCTCCAGCAGCCCTGCATTATCCCCATGTCAGACAAGAAAATGAGGCTCAGAGAGGTCAAGCGACATACTCAAGCTGACAGGGCCAGAAATGGGTCTCATACCCTGTTGGACTCCTAATCCCGTGCGCATTTCATTGTACTGGCAGAAGTGCCTTAACTGCTCTGGTTGGAGAAGATGGGGTGGTGACCCGAGGTGCGTTGAAAGCTGGAGACAGGCCCCTGCTACCCAAAGTCACAAGCTGTGCTTTTGCTTTTATGAAGGCCCTGTAGGAAATGGTGTGACTCGGGAAAGATGGGGTGCCCCCTCCCCGATGGGGAGCAAGGGGGATGTCGTGGGGACAGAGCCAAACCAGGTTTCTATTCCTCTGGGCAAGTTTGGGTTCAGATCTCAACCTGAGGAGTGGGTGCAGGGGAGGTGCTTGGGGGGCCCTCTGTGAAAGAGGGGTCCCAGGCCTGAAGGGTTGGAAAGAGAAAGAAAGGAGGGAAACCAGGCAGGCCCAGCAAGGACTCTTCTAGCTCCTGCTTATGGTGGGGGAACATCTAGAGACACACTCTGGCCACAGAGCCACAGAGAAGCAGGTGGGGGTCTGGGCAGATGCCTGGGCCAATCAGGGGGCCCCTGTACCTGCCAGGGAAGTGGGCCAGGTGTGAGGCAGGGCTCCATGCCAGGGAGAGTATTAAATGAGCTTCCAGCTTATTTGCATGTCCTAATTAACCATAAAATGAGCCCCAGGGGCAGAATTAAGCTGTCAATTTCCCTCTGCTAACTTCCACTACCTCCCCCTCATCCCGCTGCTTCCCACCCCTACACTTTTCCTGCATCGCTTAGGCCCTAGTCACTCCCATTCACCTCTCCCCTCAGCTTCAGTGAAATACAGTCTCCAACCTGTCACAACAAAAGCCCAGAAAAAGAAGGAAAAGGAAAAACTAGTGGTGGTGGTGGTGGTGGTGGGTGTGTGTGTAAATGAACTGGCCATAGTCTTTCATTAGCAAAGCATGACCTAGTGATGAGGGCATTACACCAGCCCAGTCAAGACCAGGGCAAAATTCCCCCACCGGACAGTGAGCATTCCATTTACTATCCATGCATGGATAATATGGGGAGGACAGGTTTTGTTGTTGTTCCTCTTGACTTGGCTTTTGGAGCAGAAATGGACACTTTGTGGGGTAGTGTGCAAAGCACAAGGCTGGGAGTCTATCGCGACCAGTGCACTCCCAGCTCTGCCGCTGTGACCTTGGGCAAGTTGCTTGCCTTCTCTGAGCGGCTCCACGTAAAGTAAGGGGATCAGCAGCCCCTTCCAGAGTGTGGTGAGAAGGAAATGAGAACGCAAAGACGGCGGTGCCCGACGCCTGTGAGTTCTGTTGGCGGCAAATGTCACTCCTGATTGTTTTGTTCTGGCCCGAGTTAAGATGAGTTTTCATTCCCTTGGATCCCTTCTGGCCAGCCGATGGGTTAGGAGTTGCTGCTTCTCACTGAACCCCTTGAGCCAGGAGCCAGGTCCTTTTCCTTGCTGTTCTGAGTTCCTGTCGCAGTGCCTGGCACTGGGAGGTGCGCAATAAAGTTCGGTTCAGTTGGTCCGGATTGCGATGGCCGGTCCACGGAACAGGTGAGTCACAGATGAATGGCCAAGAGGGGACTTGGTTTCCTGTGGAATCATTCCGGATTGAGAGCTTGGTGACTTCACTACGGCCCAGTGTGAGGACCCTTTTCTCTCTCACACACACCCCCACACACACGCACACACACGCACGCTCACCGCCCCACCCCCAGCAAGGCAGACACAGCCAAAGGGCCTTCACCCCGCACTGAACTACCTCAGTTCCCTGGGGAGACAGAAAGGATGAGCGGGGACTTGGCTCCTCCAGAAAAGGGCTGGCTCTACTGGCAAACTCCAGGGAGAGGAGAAAAGGCCGTTTTGCAGCCAGACAATCCTGTTCCAAATCCTGATTCCTCCATTAGCTAGAAGCCTGATCTGGGCAGCCTCTCTGACCCCTAAAGAGCCCCCACTGGTTTACCAGGAAGATGGTACTTTCTAGGGCCATTCTGAAGTTTGGAAGGCATGGTTCTGCACACTGCCTGGCAAATAGCGAGCACTGGAGAAAATACATAAAAGTAGCACCTTCCGTCTGGTAGCTTCCGCCACCAAGAACTAAACATCTCCCCTGTGATTGAGTGGGGGTCTGACAGTGACCCTAACTGGCCCCACCTCCAGCTGTGGAGCTGCCGCGCGAAGCCTCCTCCCTCCTCCAGCTGGGTCTCCAGGGGTCCAGGATGCAGGAAGCGCCTCGCTTGTTATTCTTCTCCTCCAATTTGCTGTTAATGCTCCGAGGGCGGGAAGGCTGCTTGCGTCTAATTGCGCTGTCACCCCCCCATCAGGCGGGAGGGGAGCTCAGCCGGGAGGGGCGAGGGGAGGAGAGGGGGAGGGCCTGCAGGGCGGGGCCGGGCCCAAACAGGGACCCGCATTGTCTCTTCCCAGCCAGCGGGCGTTCCCTGCGGGGCGGGAGGGCCACGTGCGCCGCTCCAGGAAAGCTCTAGGCGCCGCGCGATGGGAGCGGAGCTGCCCGCCCGGCCCTTCCCCTTCCCCGCCGCCGGTCTGGTCCGGCCAGACGGGCCTCCGCTCCCAGCGGGGAGGGAGGCCACGGGGTGAGGCTGGGAATCTAAAAATGAGTGCGCGCTTCGAATGGGCGCACTTTGGCCGCGCCGACGGACGCCCGTGTGCTTGTGTCCCGGGTGCGGGTTCTGCTGGAGGCGGGGTGCGGGGGAAGGAGCGCGTATGACTCCAGGGCCCAGCCGCGGCCGTTCGGGCCAGCCCTGCACTGGTCTGCCTCCTGCCCGCAGGGGGCGTATCTAGGCCGGCTTCCTCACCTGGGAAATGGGGATGGTAACTGCCCTACTTGCTTACTCAGAAGATATGAAAAGGCTTTCCAACGTTTAAAGTGCTATACAGATAGATATCTTTCCTGTGCTTTTGAAAAGACATAGGGCTATGTCAAGTACTCCTCTAGGTACACTCCTTATTCGGCCCATGTCTCAGGACACGGGTATGGGCTGAAATCTTAAAGGCAACAGGGACTGGGGGTGGGAATCTGCTGATCCCAGTCCTAGGAGGGCTGGGGTTTCCATGCCTGTGCCTGGAGCAGTGCTTTGCCAGGGAAGCCAATGGTTTATAAGGTTGGGGCCAGATCGGGGGCCTCTCTGGGGGAACCTGAGACCCCAGGGCCCTAATCCATACAGAATGTTCAACTGAGGTCTTTGGGGGCCCTGAAGGAATGTCAGGATTGCCTGGTCTCCTCCCCCGGCCCCTCACTGTCACCTGCAGTCCCAAAGTGAGCGCCACTCTCTCTCTCAATGTCTCTCTTTCAGCCCAGGAGCCCTCACCTCCCCACCAGCCAGCCCGCACCACAGCCTCTCTCAACCACACACTGGTCAGCCCTGCTCCAGACACTCTTGCTGCTTCTCCCTCCTTTCTGGAGGAAAGGAACTCGGAGTTAGGCTTTTGAAAGCCATAGTGCCCACACCGCATCCTTCCCAGGGCCCAGCACTGGGACCCGGTCATGTTGGGTTCAGTCAATGTTCTGTCTCTAGGACTCAGACCCAAACAGCGGTGTTAATATCAAAGCCAGAAGGTGAGGGTTCCAGGGCCTTGGGGCAGCTTGTGGAAGGACGTTCTCCCCCTCTGGGCTCTGCAGTGCCCGGGAAGGGGAAATGCCCAGAGCCCTTGGAATGGCTCCGCTTCTTGACCTTGTGTGAGCGGGCAGCTCTGGGCTCGGAGACCGTGGGCGTCACCCAGCCTGGCTTCTCCTTCAGCAGCCGGTCTCGGTCAGGCCGCACACTGCGCAAAAACTTCCTAAAGATGTTCGCTGTGAGGGCAAACCTGCGGCCCAGCTCCCGGGGCTGGCCCCTCTCCCTTTTGGGCTCCCCCGCCTCCCCCTTCTCCCCACCCTTCTCCACTTCTGGCAAGTCCAGCCAGTTGCCCACCAGGTCTGCAAAAACGTTGTCGCCTAGCACCAGAGGTTGTCGGTTCCGGCCCCGGGACATCAAGGTGGAGGTCCAGTCTTCTGGTTCCACCAGCTCGGGCCCCTGCCGGGCACCGCTTCGGTGCTCCGGTAGCTGTGCCCTGGGCAGGGGGGCCAGGTCCCGCCCACAGGCACTGCTATGGGACGGAAACTTGGCGCCAAGAGAAGGTTGGTTGGAGGTGGGGCAGGCTGCAGGCGTGGCAGGACCTCTGCCACCCTCCCATGGAGGGGGCTCGGGCTGCGTCCGGGGGCTTTCCGGGCAGCCAGGGGCAGGACTCCCTCCGGAGATCTCCAGCTGTTCCAAAGCTGTCTGCACCTGGAGGAGCTTCAGTTCTTGCAGTGCGCCCATCATGCAGTTCATCTGGTCCTGCAAGCCATCACCCACTTCCTTCATGGACATCTGCGGGCGAGAGGGAGAGCGCAGGCCAGTGAGCCGTGAGGGGCTGGGGGAAGCGCTGCCCCTCATTGGCCCTGAACCTAGACTCCCCACTGCCCACATATACACCTCCAGGGTCATTCCAAGCCGGCCACTGACCCCACCTCCGTGGGGCCCAGTACAGTGCAGCTCAGAGCTGGGAGAGGAGGAATCTCAATGCTGGTATGGCTGCATAACATATGAATGGCCGCTAACATGCTAAGGCAGGCACTGTCCTCAGCCACATATATGTGACTATGCATACACTTCTATCAATTAATCTTTTTTTTAAAAAAAGATTATTTATTTATGTATTTATTTGAAAGAGAGGGAGAGCACAGAAGGAGAGGGAAAGGGAGAAGCAGACTCCCCGCCGAGCAGGGAGCCCGATGCAGGGCTCGATCCCAGGACTCCGGGGTCCTGACCTGAGCCGAAGGCAGACGCTTAACGACTGAGCCACCCAGGCGCCCCGAGTTGATCTATCTTTAATCTCACCAACTAGTCTATGAGGTAGTGACTAGTCTTGTTGCCATTTTACAGACGAGGGGGAAGAGGCATGTGAGTAAGTTGCTCAAGGTCAACAGAGGAGGTGGAGCTGAGACCGGTTCGAGGGTGCACGCAGCTGTGGTGGCCATCCTTGACCCTTTAGGTGCTGTGCCCTCCTCTTGCCGAGCCTCCCCGAGATGAGGATGACGACCATGATGACGGCCACGACAGTTTGCAGGTGTTTACTATTTAACAGGGATTGAGCTAAGTGCTCTATGCCCCTCACCTCTTAGGATCTTTGTACAAACCCTATGAGGTTGCTATTATTGTTCTCATTTTAACGAGTTAACCCTGGTGGGGCTGAAGTAACCTGCCTACGGTCACGCACGCAGCTCATATGGCTGGGACTCAAACACGGGACACTCACTCCCAACACTATGGCCCTAACTACCAAGCCCTGCCTGCTTCAGGATGGCGGGGCAGTGGCTGGGCTTTGAGGGCTGTGCTGTCCTCCCCGGGGCAGTGGAGAAGGCTGGACAGGAACATGAGGGCAAGACAAAGAGCTCAGATTCCCGAAGAAAAGGGGTAGGCCGGGGGTCTCCTTTCACTGCTGTGCACATCTGGCCAGCCCGGAGAGAGAGATGGAGGCCAGGAAGCTCCTGTTTGCAGAAGCTCTTCCCACCCCTTCTCTGCCTTCCAAACACCTGTCCTCCCTCAGCTGCTCTTCGACTTGGCTCCCGTGCCCTTCCTGCCTTCTCAGCCCAATTGGCTCCACGGCTCGGGCCAAGAGTGGGGACACTGGAGGCCAGCTCCCCAGTCCCTTTGTGGGCGTCTAAGGCCCGGGTCCCAGGTGCCAGCTGGAAGGGGCTGAGAGGCTGACTTGGGCGAGGGCCGAGTTGGGAGGCTGGGCAGGGGATGCGTGGTCTGATAACATTCACCGTCCAGGCTGCCTTGGTCCCGCCAGCTCCCTCCCCAGATCTGCTCATGTTACCAACAGCAAAGCTCACGCGAGGGGACCATCTGTGTCTTAAGCCCCCCAGAGACCCGCTGGGGTCATCTTACCTGTCAGCCTTGTCCTAATGCACAGAACTAAGCCCACAGGGTGGAGAGCTGGAGGGACTGGGAGGGGAGGCTCAGAGGTGCTCAGGGGAGCACGGGCAGCTGACCGTCTTGAGCTTTGGGTCAAACCCGCCCCCGCCCACCCCAACCCTGGCGGGGGCGGGGGCGGGAAGACCACAACGGGCTCCCCTGAGCCGGCCGCACTAACGACCGGAGGAATAAGTGTCCTTGCAGGCAAGGAGGCCTTTGCTGAGCATGGTGGTCGGGGGTTGGGGGGGGCCCTGGTAACCCTGGGATTTGCCAGATTGCCCAGGCGAGCAGGCTCCGTTTGAGTGGCAGCTACAGCAGCAAGAGATGCAGCCTGGGAGGTGGCTGTGCTTGCTGATGGCCCCTTCTCTGACCTCTTTGGCTTCCAGCCTCCTGACCACTTCTCCTTTCTGAGGCAGGCCGAATGCAGCTGAGAAGACCCAGGACAGAGTCGGAGGAGACCCTAAGCCTCAAACCAAACGCCTCCAGGTCTCTAACTGCTCACTGCCTCTCTGACTTCCCTTTTCCTGCCCCTTCCCTCATACCCCTTTCCTCCTCACCCCAACCTAGACCTCAGAGTCCCTTTTGGCTTTTCCACCCAGGGCCCCTGCTCTTGTCCCCAGATGTCTCACATCTGCTTTTCTGTTTCCTGGAATGCAGAAGCCTCCTGGAAGGCCTTCCGGCCACCAGATCAGTCTTCCCAGCACGCTCTTGTGATCATGTCACTCGGAAGCGTGTCTCAGTCCCCATATGTGTGCCCCTGGCTGGGGTCAGAACCTCTTCAGTGACACACCTCAAATGCCCCTCCCTGGAGCGCTACTCACTTCCCCGCCCCGGGCCCCCCCCAGACGTTTAAAGGCTCAGTTGTTCGTGAGACATTCATTGAGCATGTACCATCGAGGGCAGGATCGGAGATCTACACATTGTTAGGTCTCTGCCGAACCTAGCTAGCACCTTGCCCTGCCACACACCCAGAAAACATATTGAGTACCCCTGAATGCCCCAAGTCATCTCTCCAGACCTGCTGCCCTCAGGCAGTAACGCACTCCACAGGGAGAAAGAGTCAGGGACGCGGCTCGCTGCTGCATTTCACCAACGGGCAAGGAGTCTGAGCTTGCAGGCTTCCTTCCAGAAGGCTGAACACAGTCCAGGTCAGAGGCAGTGGGAGGAATGAAATGACCCTATTCAATCTCTTCCAGTGTGGAAAAATCCTGAAGAAATAATGCTGACATTTTGTACGGTTTTCCAGTGAGAAATGTATGTGGGTATGTATGAATTCAGGGCTGCCCATAAAACAGAGGCCCCATTTAAGTAAACAGGCGGTGAAGTTACACCCCTATGGAAAATGATATTCTGCACTGGTTAAGGTTTTCTGTTCTAGAGACAGATGGCACAGCGTTCAAATCCCAGCTCGGCCACGTAGTAGTACCTGTATGACCGGGACCGGTTATTTAAATTGTTTTTCAGTTTCTCAGTTCTCCCACATGGGAATAAGAGTTTCTTATTCGTACAGCTCTGGCCAGATGAGGTGAGGTCATGAGTGTTCGTGCGTGACCTGGAGGTGGGTTCTGGCGGTTACCGTAAGACCTCCTAGGAACTTCCAGAACGCTTCTTCCTCAGTAGACCTTAGCACATAGTAACGACAGGACCCCATCCATCTACCCGGTGCGATCAAGGAGAAACACGACTCTTGTCCTGTGCCTTCTGTCCCACCCCCGCTCCCCCAACAGAGGAAGAGCCGGGCAAGGAAAGGGAAGCCCCTCATCCTCTTGCCCATTCTCAGGCCGGCTTGGTTGGCCAGCCATGGTGCTGACACTGAGGGCAGAAGACAGCTGTGAGAGGGAAGCCCAGAGGAGAAGGAAGTGTGGGAGGTGGGGAGGCCGGGGCATCAGCTGGGTCCTGACTGAGAGCGAGCTGCCTTTCCCAGTCCCGAGGGGAATGATGTCACCCCAGGAGAAAGAGCCAGAGGGCAAGCTGCTGTCCCCGTCTGGGGCGTGGGACCTTCGCAGATCCCAGGGTTTCTCTTGCCTCAGGAACCCAAGAGGGAGCAGTGTGGGGTGGGAGCAAAGGAGAGGGGCCAAATCAGAGAAGATGCTGAACTAGAAATGATCGCCACTAAATCCCGGTCCCCAGACTGTGGGGGTCTGAGTTCCTCTCTGGCCTCCCAGTGCCAGAGCCTCAGGTCCTTCCCCAGGACAGGGACCGAATCATACCCAGCTTGCCCTCGGGGGCCAGTTGGAAAAGCCCTAAGACGGTCTAGTTTGTTCTGATTAGTCTGAGTGGGAGTGGATCTAACAGCCACCTCCCTCTCTCCACCCCTAGTCATGCTCACTGACCCACACGCATGCTAGGCAGACCTGCTCCACCATCGGATATACTTCCCCAGCAGTACATCCCAGAGACGGGTGTGGGACTCCTTGCTGAGAAAGACCATGAAGGTCTCACCACCCTCCTTGCAAGCACCCCCTGCCCCCACCAGCCATCTCCTATCTCCCGGCACCTCCTGGGCCTTGAAATGTTTCAACCTAAAGGTTTTCTTTCTTTCTTTTTTTTAATTTCATTTATTCATCTGTCAGTGACAGAGAGAGAGCACAAGCAGGGGGAGCAGCAGAGGCAGACGGAGAAGCGGCTCCCTGCTGAGCAAGGAGCCCGACATGGGACTCGATCCCAGGATCCCGGAATCATGACCCAAGCCAAAGGCAAACCCTTTAACCAACTGAGCCACCCAGGCGTCCCCTAAAATTTTCTTCACATCACGCTTCAGTCTCTCCCGCTGCAGTTCAAACTGCCTCCGTGTGTGAGAGCTGGATGGCCCCCGGGCACCCTCCACGGGAGTCCTAGCTGCCCAACTCAGAAGATTCCGGCCCTAAAGTGATGCTCTTCGCTCTCGCCTTGTCGGACCCCCACAGTTACTCTGGTAAGCTGGTGACCCCACCGTACGGAGTAAGAAATGGGATCTGAGATGTTCATTTTCTTCCTCGACATCCTTCCCTAGACTGTCTTCAGTTTTCACCGCATCCACGGAGGAGCTCATCTCCTACTTAATGTTGCATGTAAATCTGTTTGTGTAAATAAACGTATTCATGTAGGAACTTATATGAAATGCATACACTTGCCATAAACAGATGGTAACTATCTAAAACTACAAGTTCTTCATCTGAGTATCACGTAATGTCATCCCGAGCGCCTCCAGTGCAAAGGCAGATCTATTGCCTGGGGTCCGAGGCGTGTTCAGGAGGACTGGGCCTCCAAGCCTGGCCCTCTTACTGCAGGCCAGTGGGCTTCCCGTGTCATCATGATGTAGCTTCTCAGCCCCGTGGGGTTTTAGTCAATGCGACACGCAAAGCACAGTTATCATCCTATGGGGAGGAAGAGCACAAAGTCTTGGAGGGACTCCAAGACCCAGTTCAGTT